CTTCTAGAACAGTGCCAGGACACTGCCTTGTTGCCCTGGACAACCTGGGAATTTGCTCCACCAAAACTGGCAGGCAGGGTTACCCCGAGGAGGGGGTGGGGGAGAAGAGGTAGGGGTGGGGCCCTATCATCTCCCAGAGGGGAGATCAAGGCAGCCATCACCTGTCTAACTAGATGGTGAGTAGGGGTGGGCATCCTGGAGCAAGGCTAGACTTTCAGGCCCCTCATTGTCCAGGACACTGGGCAGGTTGCGGGGCACCAAGGGAGGCTGACTCTTGAGGCTGAGAGAAGGCAGTGACTGTGTCAGGGTCACTGGCAGGCAAGTGGAAGGTGTGGTATGTAATAGGGGGTGGGAGGAGCAGGAGCCTCAGGTTAGGAGCTGAGAGACCTAGGTTTTCACTCCTGTTTTTTTTTGAGACAGAGCATCGCTCTGTCACCCAGGCTGGAGTGCAGTGGCCCAATCTCTGCTCACTGCAACCTCCGCCTCCCAGGTTCAAGCTATTCTCCTGCCTCAGTCTCCTGAGTAGCCTCCCAGGCGCATGCCACCACACCTGGCTAATTTTTGTATTTTTAGTAGAGATGAGGTTTCACCATGTTGGCCAGGCTGGTCTTGAACTCCTGACCTCAGGTGATCCGCCCGTGTCGGCCTCCCAAAGTGCTGGGATCACAGGCATGAGCCACCGCACCTGGCCCCTAGGTTCTTATTTCTACTTCGTCCCTGCTAGTAGGATCTTTGTTTCTCTATCTGTACAGGGAGGGAGTGGGGCCAGATGCCCTTAGTCTGAGGGGTCTTTAGTTCTGCTGTGCGGAGTTCAGGAGAGTGTTAGGGACCAGGTCATGGGGTGGCTGGCTACAGGCAGGTGCCCTGACCCCTCCTCCAACAGCCATCAGGGGGTAGTGAGCAAAAAGTCTGGTGTGACTCTTTCCAAGTGCCCCCTTCCTCAGTTCCAGGAGTCTAGGTCAGTCCTGAGTTACTGGAGTCCCCTTAGGGCTTCTGACTTGCTGTGTGATGCAGGGGCACCCCGTGCTCCCCACAACCTCAGCTACTCCGTCTGTGAGGGGCACGTATGAGATCCAGGCCTGCCCAGTGCCCTGTGTAATGATGCCTCACATTCCCACGCTGTTTCTCAGTTTGTCAAGCGCCTTCTCGTACACAGTCTCACCTTCTATACCCACTCTGGCTCCTGCTCCGTGATGCCCCATTCTGGAACTGGGACCCAGAGAGCAGCCAGACCTGGACTGTAGCCTGGGGGCTCAGAGAGGCACCTCAATTTACTTCCTGGGCAGGGGACCAGATCTGGGGCAGGGGACTGCAGTGGGCAGAGCAGCGGCATGCTTTGCCAAAACTGTTTCCATTGTTTGATCTTCCATGAGACTCAAAACTTGCCAAACCATCATGTCAAGATGGTTGGAACCGTGCATTTTTGGACAGTGTATTCCTCCCTGCCCCACTCACCCCCACTAGTTTTATTTTTAGTTATTTATCTGGGGGTGAAACTGGCACATATACAACTCTTTTCCCTGCCACAATTCTCAGAGGATAGGTATTATTATTCCAGATGAGGAAACTGGGGCTCAGAGAAGGCCTGTCACTGGCTTCTGGTGACGTAGCTAGGAAATCAGAGGTCCAGGATTTGAACTCAGCTCCACAGGCCCTTTGTGCTGCTAGGTTGTGGGTCCTCCCCAGACTCCTCTCCCCGAGCCCCTCTAGCCCTCCTGGGCTCATTCTTCTGCTCTGGAGCAGATGGGGTCCTTCTTGGCTGCTTAGAGGTGTTCTGAGAAGGATATGAATCGGCTTTGTCATGTTTGAGAGGTTTTCATGAGACCCAGATCCAGAGATACTGAAATTCCTGGGAGGGGTAGCATTTGCAAGGCCAAATTAACGATGAGTAGAATGAGATGATACCCTTCTACCCACCTGCTGGCGAGGTAGCCTAGCCTAAACCTAGGACCCAGGGATGAGCCCAGGGCCTGGCTGCCTGAGCCCTCAGGTGCCACGTCACCCACCTTTACCGACCCAAGGTCCAAAAGATTCTTGGTTCTTCTGTGTTTTGATCTGAGTGATGGTTTGGTTCTTTTTTTTTTTTTTTTTTTTTTTTTTTTTTGAGACAGAGTTTCGCTCTTTTTGCCCAGACTGGAGTGCAGTGGCGCGATCTCGGCTCACCGCAACCTCCGCCTCCCGGGTTCAAGCGATTCTCCTGCCTCAGCCTCCCGAGTAGCTGGGATTACAGGCATGTGCCACCACCCCGGCTAATTTTGTATTTTTAGTAGAGACGGGGTTTCTCCATGTTGGTCAGGCTGGTCTTGAACTCCCGACCTCAGGTGATCCACCTGCCTCGGCCTCCCAAAGTGCTGGGATTACAAGCATGAGCCACTGTGCCCGGCGATGGTTTAGTTCTTGCCATCTGCACCTCCCTGAGTTTTTCTCTCTCTGGCAGCTCTCTAGGGTGGGGAAGTCCTTCTATCAGTCTGCCCTCACTGCTACCTCCTGTCACCTGGCCTTGTCTTTTTTGCCCTGGACCACACACACCTGGTGGGTGTGAGAGGTTTGCTGCCCTGGTGCCTGCTATCTGCTGAGGTGTGTTTTATTGGGGCCCTAAAAAGGCAGGAGCCACCAGGCCTGTGCTGCCACCTCTTTTCCTCATGGCACATCCAAGAGGATACAGTCCACAAAGCAAAGCAGGCTTTGGCTCTACTGGGGTCCCCTTTGGGTTTTATCTGAGACCCACACTGCCTGAGTGTCCCACCCAGGCAGTGTGGGTATCAGGTAAAACTGCTGAGGCCTGGGGAGGGGCAGTGACCTGCCTAGAGTTAGAGGCAGAGGAGGTAGATAGCAGAGAGTCAGAGCCTGGGCATCCTGAGCCCAGAGCCAGCCCCCTGCCACCCACTCATTCCCAGACACTTTTCAGGAGTGTGGTTTAGAAGGGATGGGTGATTATCTGACTGTGCCTCCCACACTGCAGATGGGAGGCCTGGAGATCTAAGGTCATTCACACAGGCCTCATAAGGACCTGCAGCACATTGTCCAGGATTCACTTTGCAGGAAGCCCTTTGGGGTCACTTGCCATCATAGCTCCCCGCTCACCCCCACTCATTTTTAAAATGTGGCCTAATTTACAAACATCTCGGCGCTTTAAGCACTTCAGGAAGAAACACCTCTATTTGTGAAGCACCGTGACAAATCCTCGACTCCTCGTTTTTTTTCTTAGCACATTTAAGAAAAGCTGTTCCATCCTAGAGCTCTAGGCTGGTGAGGCTAGGAGGCACCTTAGGGTTATCCATTCTGATTCCCTTTTTCTGTAAATGGAAAACTAAGGGCCAGAGAGGAGGAGGCAGTGGGGCACAGACAGGAACGGAGGTGGGAGGAGGCTGACATCTGCATGCTGGTCGGGATGACTGTGGCAGGTTCTTGTTGGGCCCTGTTAGTTGCTCATCCAGAGGAGCTCACCACAGTCGCTGGGACAGACTGCCACACTCACCCTGGCCTGGCCTCAGAGAAGTTGAGCTACTGGACTCAGTTCACACAGAGCAGATGGAGGAAGAGCTGGCACTAGGACCCAGGGAGCTGGGGGGAGCCTCCCGGGCTGGAAGGGATGGCAGGAGCCCTGGTGCAGGTAGCTATGGAGCTCTGGCCAACTCTGCCTGGGGAGGTAAGAGAGCCCAGAGCCCTGGGCCAGATGCTCTTGAGAGCCTAGTCTAGTCCATAGGAGGTGTGTGTGTATGCGTGCATGTTTGTGTGTGTGTACACGCACGTGTGTGCATGCTGAGAAGGGGTGCTTGTGGATAAGGGCCAGAGTGTGGGGCTGGAGGGAGTCCCGGTTCAAGCTCCCAGGTACGAGTGAGACGGGGGTGGAGATGTTGCCTACGTCTGGCCAGCTTGTGAACCTTGAGCCCTGTGGGTTGGATCGGCTTCCTGCTGGGTTTGCACTGCCCAGTGGGAATGGGGTTGGGTGTGTGTAGGCTTGGTGTGCCTCTAGCTTGGTGGGGGAATGCAAGCTGTGGGCATCTCTGAGCTGCTGTGGGGCTGTCATCCCTGCGAGTTAGTCTCTTGATTGTCATGGGGGTGTGTGCCCATCTTTGGATCTCTGGGGTATTGCGTGGGGGCGTCTCTGGGTTGTTCTGGGGACAGCGTGCCTGTGTGTAAATACTGTAGGTTGTTGCAGAGGTGTGTACCTGTGAGTATGGGAGGTGGTGGAGAGAAGGGGTTCACAGTCAACTTCCAGAATTCCTCTTCTTGCACCTCGTGGCCCTTCCTCGCAAAGCCCACTCTGTCTTGGCCTCTCCTCACCCCGTCCCCGGTCTCCGCTGGGGACTGGCCCCTCGCGCGCCGTGTCCCCTCCCGGGGCCGGCGGGGGCGGGCGCTAGGACCCTGCGGGGCGGGGCGGGGCGGGGCTCGCAGCTCAGTCAGCTTCACCTCCGCAGCCTGGAAAATCCCGAGCCGCGGCCGCCGAGCCCCCGAGCCCCCAGCCTAGCCGGGAGGGGCGCGCGGGGCGGGGGCCCGGGGCGGGGGCCCGGGGCGGGGCCGGGCGGCGGGACCCACTGCTCTTTCCCCAGAGCCCCCGCGCGGCCCCGGGTCGCCCGGGCAGCTGCGGCGGCGGCGCTCGCACCCCAGCCCCGGCGGGCCCTGGCGGAGCGGCGGGCACAGGTGAGCAGCCTGGCCCGGAGGGCGCCCCTCCTGCCCCGCCACCCGCCCCGCGCCCGCCCGGCGTCGCTGCGAGTTAGTTAAGCAGGTTCCCCGCACCGTCCCTCCCCTCGGGTCCCGGCCGGTCCCTGGGTCCCGACGGGCGCCCGCCGGCCACCGCGTCCCAAACGCAGTCTCCACGCCGGCCCCAAAGGGTCTGGGGCGCTCCTCGAGAGGGGGCCTCCGAGGCTGTCCAGCGCCCGTCCGCCCTTCCCCGGGGCCAGCCCCTGCCTCTCTCTAGCTCCCCACCCGCCAGGACCCCGAACAGCCCCACCCGCGCCCCCAGCGCGCTGATTCCCGTCCCCAAACCGGTCTTGCAGGTCCCAGGAAGGTGGCGTCAGCATCTGCAACCGCGTCGACGTTGTCGGAGCCTCCGCGGAGGACCCAGGAGAACCGGACTAGGGCCAGGGCCCTGGGCCTCCCCACACTCCCTATGGAGAAGCCGGCGGCCTCCACAGAGCCCCAAGGGCCTCGGCCGGTCCTGGGCCGTGAGAGTGTCCAGGTGCCCGATGACCAAGACTTTCGCAGCTTCCGGTCAGAGTGTGAGGCCGAGGTGGGCTGGAACCTGACCTACAGCAAGGCTGGGGTGTCTGTCTGGGTGCAGGCTGTGGAGATGGATCGGACGCTGCACAAGATCAAGGTAGGGTTGCCCACTATCACTTCAGCCTCCACTGCACCCTTACTGCCTCTCTTCCGGAGTCTCCTGGTCCTCTCTCTGGGCTAGACACCTGACTATGTATCTGGGCCCAGAGAGAGTCTCCTGCCAGGGACCGGGAGGAGGCCAAGCCCCATCACACAGATGGGCCAACCGAGGCCTGGAGAGCAGGAGTGACTCAACCTGCCTCTCTCAGCTGGAACCCAGGCTTCTGGATGCCCCTGCCTGCTCCAGGGAGCTGGGCTGCTGCCAGGCCCTTCTAGGAGAGTGGTCTCCCTCAGGGACCCCTCTGCTTGGGAAGCCTCCACCTGGTTCCTGACTTGAGTTATCCAGTTGGGAGACTGGGCCCTTCTCTCCCTGATTCCTGGTTCTCTCAGCCTGAACTGGGTCTCCTTCCCTGCTTTTTGCACCCTGGGGTGCCCAGGACCTGAGTCCTTCCTGCCTGATGCCCTGCTCTTGCTCTTTCCCTTCCCTCCCTCCGTGGCTGCTCCCTCAGTCTTCTGCAGGGACTCAGGATTGTGGCTGGCAGATCCTGAAGGCAGGGCTCTGATACCCCTGCCTTGCACAGAGCCAGGCTGCAGGTGGGCTGGGGGAGGAAGGGGCCTGGGGTCAAGGGAAGCCAACATAGGGAGCAGTTGCAGACACATCAGTCGCTCACAGCCATCTCCCCTGCTCCTCCCAACCCCACATTTCTCCTCTCTTTGCCTTGCAGGGCAGGCTTGGGGTTTGGGACCTTGGGAACCCACCTCCCCCAGAGGACCAGATGGGGGGGTGGTGGTGAAGACTCTGGTTTAAGGGCCTCAATAGCTGCCCCCAATACATCTGGTGTTGCTGTGGGTGCTGCATTTCCAGGGCTCTTAGGTCTCCCTGCAGTGGGCTTTGGCAGTAGGCTGTGCCCTTCGCCTCCCTCTTCCTTGCCTTCTCCCTTCTGCTATCCTCCTGGATATGTGGAGGAGTCCACCCTCCCCTTCTGCCTAGTCTCAGACTTAGCTCAGGCATGTATCTTGGCCTCTTACCAAGGCCTGAGATGTCTGACCTTTCCCCTCTGACCCTAAGCCCTTCTGCCTCACTTTGTCTTAGTCATTTACATATACTTCTGTCCTTCCCCACAGGATTATCTGCTTCTCACTTTCTGCCTCCCCTTCTCTTCTCTGACTCTGTCTGCACCTTGGCCATCTGACTGTCTTTCCCTCTGGGTTTCCATGTGTGTCTCCCACTTTGGGATTCGCTGCCCAGGGCCAGAGGACCTTGACCTGTGTCTGAGCCTGAGGAGCAGGGAAGGGGAAGGCAGTTGGCATGTGCCCGCTGGTTGTTCCCTGAGAGCAGGGACAGGTCCTATCCTCTTTTTTTTTTTTTTTTTTTTTTTTTTTTTTTTTTTTGAGAAGCCTCACTCTGTCGCCCAGGCTGAAGTGCAGTAGCAAGATCTCAGCTCACTGCAACCTCCACCTCCCAGGTTCAAGTGATTCTTCTGCCTCAGCCTCCTGAGTAGCTGGGACTGCTAGTGCACACCACCACACTCAGCTAATTTTTGTATTTGTAGTAGAGATGGGGTTTCACCATATTGGCCAGGCTGGTCTTGAACTCCTGACCTCAAGTGATCCACCCACCTCAGCCTCTCAGGTCCTGTCCTCTTTGCGTCCCCAGCATCCAACACAGTTAGAGCAGGGATATTGGTGGAAGAGAGAGGGAAGGAAAGAACGAAGGGACAAATTGAATGAAAGGTGAGAAGGGAATTCACAAGAGCCTGACTGTGACCTGGGAAGGCCTTCAGGTGGGCAGTGCACACTGGGGAGAAGTGTAGTTTCCCTACCAAGCTGGCACTCCAGAAAGTCAGGGGAGGAGGGGTCTGAACTGAGGCCAGTACTCCCACCTTCTGTGTCAATAGGGCAGAGCTACCTCCTCCATCTGGCTTGGTTAATGAACAAACCCTGCCCAGCCCAGGCCTGGAATTGGTGGGTCTGGGGCCCAGGCTGACTGCAACAGACCACTCGTGGCCAGAACAGGCTTGTCAGGTGGCCTTCCTTGTGGGTGGCGGAGACTTGGAAAAACTGGGGTGTTATAGGCTTCTGGACAGGCATACACCCTCCTGGGCAGCCAGGACCCTACCCTCCTTTTCTTTCAGACTGAACAGATGTTGGAGGTGCTAAAGGGCCCTTAGTAATCCCTATGTCATACCCTTCCTGCCCCTGGATGCAGGTGAGGATATTGGGGCTCAGAGAGGGGCAGGGACCTGCCTAGAGTCACACAGCTGTCTCAGCAGAGCTGAGTCTGGAACCCAGATCTACAGCATCTTGGCTAGTGCTCCTTCCTTGCTTCTCCTTGCAGGCTGCCTCCCCAGCTTTGCTCCCCACAATGGAGAGAGGGTGGGGAGAGGAGGTGAGCAGAGCCCAGACCCAGGAAGGAGGCTGGGACCCTGGTTATGGGCACCCCAAGGTGCCAGCTCCCCGCTCCTCATCCTCTCAGCACAGCTAGTTGGAGCTCTGGGAGAGATGGACAGAGGCCTGTGATCTTCCCATCCCCAAGATTCCAGGACTCCCAGGTTCCATGCAGATAATCCCATTTCTGATAAATGAGAGCCCCTGCTCTGAGCCAAGCATTTCTCCCCCTCATCTAATTTGCCCTGAGGCTAGTCTGGGGCAGTAGTAGTCTTGTCTGCATGTTACAAACAAAGAAACTGAGGCTGAGCGAGGTAATGTTATTTGCCTAAGGTCATGCCACAGCTGAGGCAAGAGTGGAACCATGCCAGCCTGGCTCCAGAGCCCCTGCCCCTCTCCGCATGGGCTTGCATCTTAGTCAACACCGTGGCCTTTAACCCCATCCATAACTCTTTGAAGGCCTGGAGGACGCCGTGTTCTTATCATCTTATTCTTGTTTGATGGATGAGAAAGCCGAGGCCCACAAAGAGGAGTGGCTTGCCAAGGTCACCCAGCAGGTCTGGAGCCAGAATCCCTGGGGATGACTGGGTCACTCCAGGAGGCTGGGACTCAACTACAGGTGTTTGCTGAACTTCTGCCCCCCTTTCTCCCTCCCCTCTCCTGCCCCAGCCTGCTCTGGACCTGTCCCCAGAGCTGGGAAAGCAGCTGCCCCCTGGACATGCCCGGTGCTCCTGATCCCAGGGTGGGGGTGGGACTCCACCTAGCTATCTACCTGATTTGTTTCCTCCTCCTCATCTCCCTTCCCCTTCCCCGGGTCCAGAGGTCCCTGGCAGCCACTGTGGCTCAGGGCCCAGTAGTTGGAGCCAGGACAAAGGGAAAGGGGCTGTTGGAGGCCACCTCCACCCCTTCCCTCCCTCCTGGCCTCCAGCCTGACCGGGCCCCAGGGCTGCACTGTGCTCTGAATACTGGAGAGGAGGCAGATCCCACCTCCTGAGAGTTCAGACCCTGTCCCAGGGACAGATGCTGAACATGGATCCTGGGTACAAGGCAGGAGGCAGCTTGGAGGCTGAAGTCAGGTCTCTCAAAGCCCAGGTTAGCTTCCCCATGGCACCTGTATTGGTGTGAGAAACGGGAGACCAAGAGCTTCTGTCAGTCATTCAACCAGGGCCAGCTGGGGTCCAGTCCTGGCTGTTGCATGTGACCTTGGGCACATTCCTGCCCCTTTCTGGGCTGCTTGCCCATCTGTGCAATTGGTCCCTCTTGGCTCCAAGAGTCTCTGAACTCAGCACCCGGGCTGGGGCCCTGGGGGAGAGATTAGGAGCAGGCAGACAGCAGAGGACGTGGCCTGTGAGGCCCTGGCCTGGGTACAGACATGCTGTGTTCTCCTGAGGCCTGCCGCGTGAGAGGCAGGGGAGACCTGCGTATCTCCTCAGTGGTCTTCAGACCCTGGTGAAGAGAGGACAGACAGTTCCAGGTGACCTTCCACCCACTGCACAGGCAGCCTGGGGGCAGGAATGAGGCCTGAGAGGAGCCTGGGCCCATGACAGGAGAGACCTGACCCTGGAGCAGGTGTGGGAGGGGGTGTGGCTGAGAGCCTGAGGCTCTGCTGGCCGCAGGAAGCTGGGCAGTGGGGACCTGTCTCCTCTGACTTCCTGTCCTGCTGCTCCTCCCCTTCCCCTTTGGGAAAAGCTCTGGTGGCCCCTCCCAGCCCTGTCTCACTGTCCACCTACCCCACACCACAGGCCACCTGGGTTCCAGACTCCAAAGCCAGTGCTCAGCTCGTGACCCCTCAGCACCTCACCCTCTCACCTGGTGAAATGCCAGATGGCTCAGGGGTCTCCAAGGCCCTTTCCACCCTTACCAGTCTCAGGGACTCAAAAGGGTCATGGGAAGGTGGGGTCAGGGCTGTGTGTGGGACAGGTCTCCTTAATCCCATCAAGCAGATGTGGAAACTGAGGCTCAAGGCAGGTTCACTTGTGCACAGCCAAACAGCCAGACATGGCTGAAGCTAGATCAGGACCTAGGTCCTTGACTCGCCAAGGCTGAGATCTCGCAACTCCCTTGGACCGGGTTATTAACGTGATTGGACTCATGGGTCTCCCTGTGCTGTGTCACTGTGGGAGGGCACCTTAGAGGGGACCCAGCTGGGCAAGAGTCCAGTGCTCCCTGTGTGACTTTGGGGGTCATTTCACCTTTCTGGGTCAGTCTTCTTATTGGCAGTGGCAGGGGCACGAGTTCATCTAGTTTTAGGGCCTTGGACTGGGTCAGTTCAGGCTCTAGCTTGGCTCTGCCTGCTATGGGGCACAGTTTCCCCGTACAGGAAGTTGCTGGGCAGGTGGTCTGTAGAGGCTGTCCTAACCTTAGGGGAGGCTGCCCTGCTGGAGACAGAGTGAGGATGGTGGCTGAGGTCTTGCCAGTCTGTGCCATCAGAGAGGTCCCTAGAAGGGGATCCTGAATCCGGGGTTAGGCACTGAGCTGCCTGGTTCCAGCTCCGACTTGGCATGGGGGGAACTGGAAGAAGTAGTTCCAGAGCTGTCCTCAGGGAACAGGCTCCCAGAGAGCATGACCCCAGTTAGTTAGTGTCTAGACTTTGGGTTGGAGGTGCTCAGA